ATAAAAATCGAAAAGCGACGTCAGACATAAATGAAGTTGATGAAGATATGGATGATCAATTAGAAAATATGATCAGTGATATTGGATAATTGTCTTTTATGAAAGTCTATATTTATGATACTTTATGTAGTGATAAGGATACGCCTTTATATAAGGAGTGCACAAGTTTTACACAATTGTTTTCATTGTTAAAATTGTTTAATCTGAAGGCAAAAAATGGATGGTCGGATAAAATTTTCATGGAATTGCTTGATTTGTTGAAATAAATGCTACCAAAAGATAATAATTTGTCGGATCGTTGTTATGAGACCAAAAAGATATTGTGTCCCATGGGCTTGAAGTATATCAAAATACACACATGCCTTAATGATTTCATAGTATACAGCAAAGAGTATGAAATTTTGGATCAATGTCCGGAATATGGTGAGTCGCGCTACAAGGTGAAGAGAAACAATGGTGATGACAATGACAATGTTTGCAAGAAGTGTCCTCCTGCAAAAGTATTATGGTACTTGCCAATAATTTCAAGGTTCAAGAGACTTTTTTCTAATACAAATGAAGCAAATAATATTATATGGCATGCATATGAAAGAAAATATGATGGAAACATTTGCCATGTAGCTGATTCTTTGCAATGGAAGAAAATTAATTCGTTATTTCTGAATTTTGGCCTTGAGTCAAGAAACATTAGGCTTGGGCTTGCCATAGATGGAATGAACCCCTTTGGTAATATGAGTACTTACCGTTTTTCGTGGTATGCTCTTCTCACGATTTACAATCTATCTCTTTGGTTGTGTATGATGCACAAGTATATATTATTAAGTTTGATGATTTATGGACCAAAACAACTTGGAAATGACATATTTTTATCTAAGTCAATTAATTGAAGATTTAAGACTTTTTTTAGAGGAAGGTGTTGGCGTTGATGATGCATATTCTGGTGAAAAGTTTAAGATGTGTGCAATGTTATTTTGCATAATCAATGACTTTCCTACATATAGTGATTTGGATGGATACAATGTCAAAAGACATAAAGAATGTTCTATATTCGAATCTAATACCTTTTTTCACCAACTTGAGTTTGGATAAAACACCTTTTACCTTGGGCATCGGAAATTTATAAAACCCAATCATCCTTATCGTAGATTATTGGAGGGTTTTAACAGAGAGAATGTGTTTGAAATTACTCCTAAACCTTTAACAGGAGATAAAGTTTATCAACGACAATAACACCTTACTGTTGTCTTTGAAAAGAATAAAAAATCTCCTGTTGAGAGAAATATTTGGAAAAAGAGATCGGTGGTCTTTAATCTTCCATATTTGTCTAGCCTCGATGTAAGACATTGTCTTGATGTGATGCACGTGGAGAAAAAATGTGTGTGATAGTTTGATGGGAACACTTCTAAACATTCCAAGCAAGAATAAAGATAGTAAGAATCTCCATTTAGATATGGTGGAGATGGATATATGACAACAGTTTTCTTTAGAAGATAGAGGAAAAGAACTTATTTGCCTCCAACATGTCACATTCTATTAAAAAAGAAAAGAAAATTTTTTATGAGTGTTTTCCTGGTATCAAATTTTCCCAAGGTTACTCATCAAACATCAAGAAACTCGAATCAATGAAAGATCTCAAGTTAATTGGCTTAAAAACTCATGATTGTCATATCTTGATGCAACAACTTCTACTAATGGTTATATGTGGCATCCTTCCCAAAAAAATAAGAGTAACTACAATCAGATTGTTCTTATTTTTCAATGTTATATGTAATAAAGTTATTGATTTCAAAAAATTAGATGAATTAGAAGACGAGGTTGCAATAATCTTGTGTCAATTAGAGATGTATTTTCCTCCATTATTTTTTGACATTATGGTTCACTTACTTGGTCATCTAGACAGAGAAATCAGATTTGTGATCTAGTTTATTTAAGGTGGATGTAACCAATAGAGCGATATATGAATATCTTTAAAGGATATATGATGAATCATCATTGACCAATGGCTTCGATCGTTAAAAGGTACATCACATAAGAAGTTGTTAAGTTTTATTCAAACTATTTGTCGAAAGTAGAGTCTATAGGAATTCCAAAATCTTGTCATGCTGACAAATATGGAGGTATAGGTACTCAAGGTTTAAATGTTAAGTCAATGGCTCAAGATGTATTTGTCCAAGCATATTTCTATATATCGAATAATCTTGATGAAATTCAACCTTACATAGTTACTCACAAAAAAGTTGTGAAGAAAAAATATCATTGAATGAGAGACAAGTAGTTGTTGAAAGAGCATAAAAAGAAATTCATAAGTTGGTTTAATGAATGGACTTCTAATGATAAGAGTGCATGCGAGATAATTAAATCGTTGTCGTACATGCCAAAATTTAATGTGATAACTTGGACTGGATACGACATTAGTCATTTTTTTATACAAAATTAAAAGATGATCGTAGTACAATACAAAATAGTGGGGCTATGGTTGAGGCCGAGTCCATATATTTCTCTAGTTCAAAAGATAAGAATCATATATTGGCATCTAAAGCATTCTATGGTATCATTGAGGAGATTTTGGATATTGATTATGCTATTTTCAATGTGTCTTTATTTAAATGCAAGTGGGTTCCCAATAACAATGGTGTACAAACTTATGAGTTAGAATTCACACGGGTTGACGTTGGCAAGGCAACTTATATGATCGAATCATTCATCATGGCTACTCAAGCAAAACAAATTTTTGTGTGACAGACCCTTCGAACTTATCGAGGAGATGGTTATTTGTTCTCTAAGGAAAACACATTCCTCATAGTGATGAAAATTTTGATATTCCTTTCATTCTTTCTTACACAACACAAGTGCCTACTTCATATGAAAAAATTGATATAGATGACGTGCATGTTATTCGTAACGATCATCGAGAATGAATATGGAAAATTAACAAGTATTTGTTATTCTTTATTCATAATTTAGTATAAGTCATAATTTATAAGGTTATTTACCAACAAGTATTACCATTTGAAATGATAGGTGTTTAAAGTTAAGACACCAAGAGACAAGATACCAAGATACTATTATTTGATGTAACGATATGTAAATTGTAGGTTGTTTTATGTCATTCTTGATTTTGATGCAATATATAATTCTTGGTCCTTAATGCAATTTTTGCTTTGATGTAATACAAATTTTGGTGTGTTGCTATTTCTGGTCTGATACGATTCAGAAAAAATTTCAGTTAGAAAATATATATTTAAAAAAATAAATAATTTAACAACGGTTGTTTAACACAACCTTTGTTATTGGTAGAGCATTATCCAGAATAATAAGTGCCAAAAAGGTCATTGTTGGATATTGAACTAGAACCTATAAATATTTCACTATAGTTGTTCAATATAATCGTGGTTATATATAACGTGTTTTCCAATTTACTACAACGGACACTAGAGTATCGTTGTAAATAACACACTTACAACCACATGCTACCTAACAACGAACATTCAACTGTCATTATAAGTCATAATGCATGTAAGTAAACCAGACAAGTGCCACACAATTACTACAAACAACCCTGCAAGCAAGAAAAGCAACAAAAAAAAATAACAGATAAAATGCAGAAATGCATCTCAGTTTCCTGGAAATCCAAACTTTAAAAAATACAGATATGTATCTTCGCAATTTCCTATAATTTTCATTTATGTCAATGGCGCTAATACAGATTACCAAATCCCCAAAAATAATGCATTAATCGTTACTTTTAAAACTATCAAACATGCATAAAGTATCTATTTCAATACCTAATCATCAATTTCTACAAATTTATACAAAAAAATCAAAAAAGTTTACAATAATAAAAAAAACTTACAAGAAGTGAGGAATCTTTAAAGTTTATGTAATTGAATGAGTTTTTTTATGCCATCCAGGGATGATTAAAGAAGTTTTGATCTTGTATGATTGATTTTGAGACAATGTGTTTGAGATGTATCTCCATAATATTTGTGAATATACATCTCCGTAATTTTTACAATAAGTCAGACTTCTATTAATTTATAATGCATCCGAATATATATCTCCAAAATTTTAAAATATTTATAGCATAATTTCTTTCAAGTGAATCTAACCCAGTAATCCAAAGAATCCATTAAGAAAAATGTGTGTTATTCAGGTGTAATGACTTTAATTTTAATGAACACGAACATTCAAAATTACTATTTTATTTTTCTTTATTTAATTTCTTCCCAATCAGGTGAAACTCTAGTTGAATTGTAGCTTCAAAATTCACTTTTCATAATAGATACACGTTTTAAGTAAAATGCAACAAACCCTACCATACAACCTCTGCATTTTTGGTAAACTAAAAGTTGTATTCTTGTTAATCTTATATTTGAATAAAAAGTTTTTATTACAATCGAAATGTGTAATGAGTTAAAAAAAAATAATTGATTTACTCATTAATCAACAAAAGTAATTTAAATAAATTTCATAAAAGTCATTAGATGCATCAAACTAAAAAGCCCTTTAAATCTAAATTTAATTTTTACAGACTTTTTTTTTTATGATTTTAAGAAATTATTGAAAAGAGACAATAGTATGAGAAACAGAAATAACAGAAAGATCATTGGAATTTCAAATTAGTCTTCTACGTAAAACATTTATCAAGTTAGTCCCTCCATCAAGCCGCATCACCTAACAGAAACAACATCATCCTTGTCGAACGTGGATTTCCCGCGGTAGCAGGTTCACGCAGTTACATGCTACAGACAATCTCGGTTGTTGATTTAACAACAGACCGAGCAGATGACTCAGTCAACAATCTAACTTCAAACGATCTTGAGAGTTGATTTCCGACCGAACAGCCAAGATCTGTATTGCGTGCAGCAGGAATCCAAATCCGTCCTCACTGCAGACTATTACGACAAATAGTTCGTATCTAGTACATCTAAATAGTCCAGTTAGTACATCAAAAAGAGTGCTTTCGACGAAAATCCATGACGTTTCTGGATTTTTAGTAACTATGAAACTATCAATGACATTAATTCTTGTTCAACTTCTTCCCAATTCTCGACTTTGTGCACCAGAGGATGTTGCTCCGCAAACTCAGTCTTAGACCAAGGATACGAATTTTCGTAATCGAAAAGTAGGACTCTAATACCTGCTTCAGCACACTCGATTGCGTAACTTGGGTTATCGTCAATAAGAACCTTTGCGTTTAAAGACCTACAAATCTCTGACTTTGGCCTTGACCCTCCATCAAGTGCGAAATGATTTCCAAAGTGAATCTCATCAAACAAACCTGAAAAGTTATTCTCTATCCACTCAAGTGTATGATCCTTGATTGCATTCTGTCGAGATCTGATCGATCATAAACACATACAAAGAGCTATTAGTAGATGAATTGCATATTCTCATTCATGTTGAAGAAAAATCAGTAGCAAAAAAGCGTACGTTACAACTGAGAGGTTGCAAAATCTTGATAATTTCTGCAGGGTCATTTGAGCACCCGGGAGAGGTTGGATCCCCGACTTGAAATATGGTGTCTCAAAAAACTCATGAACGCGACTATTAGCTGCACAACAAAATTATAGTATTGATCGCATGAATGATCACATTACAGTCATGATTAATTCACAACATGCAATAACAGTGAATGTATGTAGTTACTCACCTTCATCTCGCGAACAGTTCCATATCTGTATGAGAAATGAAAGGTTTATCAGAGTCTCGAATACAAACATGCTCAAAATTCTATGCAGCACAACAATCTAAATGAGTTTCCATAAGCATAGATTAAGGTAAGATAATGTAAAATTGTATGAGAGAAAGGGTTCATTAATCTAGAAACACCAAGAAAACTCTTAAAAGAGCATGATTGTCAATAGTAGTCAATAGTGGCGCTATCCTGCTATATAGCAGAGCGGAGAAGAGCCCTGCCGCTATCGGAAGAGCCTTAGCGGTGCAAACTCTATAGCGATAGTAAATAGTGGGTAGTGGGAGCAGAACGGTTCCTGGCCCAGAGAGGTTTTTGTCCCTCTGTTCTTTTCCCCTCTGAAAAATTGAAATTTATAAGAGTAATTGAGTTTTTCAATCAAATTTGTTAATATTTTAACAGAAGTTCCTCACTCATCTCCTGCCGCTACGGAGGAGCGGCACGCATCCCAGTTTTGGATTGCGGCCGGGAAAGCTGGGATAGCAGGTTGCGGGAGCAGAGCGCTTCCCGGGCCGGAGCGGTGTTCTACTTTTAGAGCTTATTTGGAGTGCCAAAAGACCTTTTAACCCTTAAAAAAATTGAAAATTGAAAATTTTATTAGTGGTTCGTGTTTTCTCCTCTCTCATTATGTTTTTACCTTTTTCCATTGTTTCTTTTGTTCACTGCTTCTCGTGTTTTTTGCACGCTGCTTCTTATGCCCTAACTCCTCCACCTACTCTGCTTCAAGCTTCTCTCTATTCTCCTTCTTCTCTACTTCTGTTTTCTGCTTTTTCTGTTTTGTTCTCTATCCCGTTCTTCTCTATTCATTGTTTTTCTATTCTGTTTTCAGGTTGTTTTTTCTTTCATATCATTGTTTTTTTCTCTTTCTTTTTAAATATATTGATTCTGGGATTAATAAAAGTAGATTATTCATATAATTAGTCCAAAACATTATTTAATCTACATTAAATATATAGGTAGATTATTTATATAATTAGTCAAAAAGATTAACCCGCTATCCGGCTATCCCATTTTTGGGTTGGCCGCTCTGCTCCGCTATCTGAGATTAATAAATCTGATTATTATACATGTAATTTATCAAAAAAAATGATCAAATAGCAGTCATCAGTCATCCCACTATACGCTAACACAGGTAAAATACTCCCGGGCACAATTTAACTGACAAGGATCTGTCGCTTTATGCAGATGATAGTTCCCTACTCAATATTTGTTGCAAAAAACGCATAGAGAAATTAAAGAACACAATCTATAATGTGAAAAACTCAAAAATAAAAGAAAAACAACTATCGATACGCTTTATGGCCCATAATACACCCACACTCTCTAAAGAAAATACTTGAACTACATATCATAACATTCTACATGCTTGATGTGGTATGTAGTATTATAATTTCCATTTTCCAGATAACTATCATGAAAATATAGAAATGTTGACACAGTAACCAGGAGATACCTTGAAGAACTCGTACACATGATACTCAGACACCGAATAATTTGACAAGTATCGATCTGCTATGAACTCGTTCAGAGCCGACACAAAGTTTCCTAATACTGTTAAGGAAGAAGAGAAATGAATCAAAAACATAGTTAAACAAAAAAACCATCCTCATGTAAGAATCAAGGATTAACATTAGGATACATAAATACAAACCTTCATCAACATCCACCGCAACTACAAGTTTCTGCGAAAACTGATAATCAGGGAAACAAAAAGGTTTATTATGACTTCCACCTTGTGATCTATGCTCAACATTAGCAGAATTTCCATTTTTCTTCTCCTTCAAAAACACTCTTTTCGCATTAACATTATCATTTCCAATATTATTACAGCTATCAAAACAGGCTTTAACATTAAACCTAACACTTCTCTTAACCTCAGAATAACAAGGGTATTGGCAAAAAGCCCTGGTGAAATAGGAACAAGGATCATAGTTTAACAAATGAACCATGATAATAAGATTATGGTTGCAAATTTCCTTTCCCCTAATTCAAATATAATTATAAAAAAAAAAAAGATTTTTAAAATGAATTTCCTTCGATATAACCAAATTGTAACTGATAAACCTCAAGGAAAATAAAACTTTTGCATCATTTTCAGCCCCAGAACAAATTGAGTGGAACAATGCAATTGTTGATAAAGGAACAAACTTTGATCATACACTATTATGAGGGGACAAAAGGGTATCTTCTAAAGATAAAATTAACCTCAGAAAAACTCGAAATGGAATGTTGGACTAGAATAGTTAATCCGAAAATAATAGTAAAAAACAAAACTTTGGTACAGTTTGGGTCCTAAAAAGAAAGACCCAGAAGGTAAAGTTTCATGGCGAGAAATTGACGGAAAATTTTAGGGAAGAATTTGGAGAAGATGCCGCAAAATTTGAAAAGAGAAAATGCATTGAAATTAAAGACAAAAAGGGAACATTTTTCAGATCTGGTTTCCCTACAAGAAAAGCAACTCCTTCAATTTTTATAAAAAAATTGTATTTAAATGTATGAAAATTTTTATTTTTATTTTTTTAATAATTTATTTAATTATTTATAATATTTATAAATGTCTTTTTAAAGTATTCGTTACTTTTTTTTTCTATGGTTTGTATCTTTTAATCAGCTTTTTTGATGATGTATCATTTTCAACTATAATTTAGAGTGAGTTGGTGTTGTGTCATTTTTAGATTTTAAGATTGTTATTATATCAATTAATAATTATAAATTTTTTATTATTTTAAATTGATTTTTTAATTTTGTAATAAAATAAAAACTTTAAAGTTACATAGTTTTTCTAAATTAAATTTGCATACCTTCGTTCAATTATTAATTATTAATTATTTTTAATTATAGATAAAACATTTTAATATTATAAATTAATCAATTTTGATAACAAAATGTGTCAAAAAAAATTGATGATAAATTGAAATATTTTAAATCAGTTTTTTCTAAAATTAGACCTTCTTTGTTCACCAATTTTAGATTTTTTTTCCAAATTAAACATTTATACTTTTTCCATTTTTAGATTTTTTTTTCAAATGTGATTTTACTTTATTTTTTCTATTTAGTTTGTGATGAAGAGAATCCCTTTTGTAAACTAATATAATTTGTGAGGAAGAAAATTTAATTTCAGATAAAGGTTTTTAAGAAATTTGTTGATGGATTTTGAATTCCTAGTTCTTTTTCAAAGTGTGAGTGATGTTGATGATTATGTGGCGGTGTCGTTGATGTTTATGGGGCGGTGTCGTTGATGATTATTGTATAGATTTATTTTATTTTTATTTTATTTTTATTTTATTTGTTTGTTTAGGTTGAATGAAGATGATAAATTCTTTTTTAGATTTTAATTTGAAAACAATTTGACTTAGTTGATAAGGACGTTTTAACTTATTACCATTAAAATTAATTTTACTCCATCTATTCTAAAATAAGTGTCCTTAGTTTTTATCTACCAATTATATTCTTAATTAGTATTTTAAATTATTAATAATAATTAAAATATATTAATAAGCAACAAAACTAATTTGTTAAAATCATTACTCACTTATTTATTAATCACATTTTTTAATTAGTGTAAAGTATCTATTATAATTTATAACATCTATTTTAGGAGGGATGCAGTAATATTTATCATTAAATGTTAATTGATATAATAATGTCTTTAAAACTTAAAAATAACATGACACCAATTTATCTTTATCACACTAACAAATGAATGTAATTGGATATATATATATATATATATATATATATATATATATATATATATATATATATATATATATATATATATATATATATATATATATATATATATATATATATATATATATATATATATATATATATATATATATATATATATATATATATATATATATATATATATATATATATATATATATATATATATATATATATATATATATATATTAATATGATATTCATATTTATTTTATATTTGTACGAATATTTCTTAAGCGGATAATTTGTGCGTTTTAAAATATTAGTGAAGAACACTTTTTTTATAATTATTTTTGAAAAAAATTTATTTTTAATCTTCTTTTAAAGACATAAAAAAATTATTGTCACGTAGCATCTATAAAACTAGTTCTTATTTTAACAACAAAATTTTATCACATTTATTTCTTTCTTTTCACTAAAACATAATAACATGCAAATATAATATTTATACACTTTATTTTTTAACCAAAACGAATAAAAGATATTGTGATTGTGAGTTATAGTGGAAGAGCGGACACATTGGTTGGATAGAGAAAAGGCAGTACTGATTAGTGTTAGGGTTAGTTGAAAATATATATGTTGATACTTTTTATGGTGGAGTATGATAGTTGGTGAAAACAATGAAATTTATGTATTATTTTCAATCGAAGTGGAGATTGTTGGGGTTGGTTGAAAATATACATGTTGAAAAAGCCCCACATTGCTTAGTTTTGTGAATGAAGAGAGAGTCCAAGACTATATATAGTATACAAGTTTTAAAGTCACACTTCCCTTAATTTTGTGAAGCAAGAAGGAGGCCAAGGCTATATATAGGATCAAGTTTTTCATTCCAAGATTCACCAGTCAAAACATTATGTTCTTGTGTGTGATTGTGTTCTTTGTTTCTCTAAGCTTTGTTTGTTTTTTTTCTCAACAGCTGGTATCAAAGTCTGGTTTGATCCAGGGATAAGTGCTTTTAGTATGCTCTGCAGGGAAAATTGATGGAAATTTTTTTTACTTGTGGAAAGTTCAAGTCAAAGATGTGTTGATACAATCAAGATTACACAATGTGCAAGATTATGTCGGTGGTTGAAGAGCTTCCTGCAAACAAGGAAGTTGCTCCATAAAGTTTCAACCTGGTTTTCGACATGTGAAAATTCTTGAAGTGGTTTACCTTCAAGTGAAGTATACTATTCTTTATGTAGAGTATGATAGTTTTTTTTTAAAACTATGATTGTCAGTGAAAACAATATGAAATTTTTGGAGTGGTTTAGCTTCAAGTGAAATTTATTCTTCATGATAAAATATATGATTGCCAGTGATGACAATGTTAAAATTTTGAAGTCGTTTATTGAAATATATTCTTCATGAGAGAATATGATAGTTTTTAAAACTATGATTGTCGGTGAAAACAATGTAAAATTCTTGGAGTGATTTACCTTTAAGTGAAATTTATTCTTCATGATAAAATATATGATTGTCGGTGATGACAATGTGAAATTCTTGATGTGGTTTATCTTCTAGTAAAATATATTATTCGTGGGAGAGTATGATAGTTTTTAAAACTACGATTTTCGGTGAAGACAATGTGAAAATTCTTGGAATGGTGTAACTTCAAGTGACTATACTCTTTATGGTGGAGTATGATTGTCGGTGAAGACAATGAAAGTTTATGTATTATTTTCAATCAAGGTGAAGGTTGGTGGGGTTGATTGAAAATATATATGTTGATACTTGTTGTGAATCGGATACCTTTAAACAAAGTATAAACGGTTTCTTAGCAAGAAACACACAAGGGTTAGGGTTAATAAAGAAGAAAACAACAAGGAACAACAAGGATTGGTTATTAAACTGCTATTCTTTCCTTTCTCTTAGAACAATATTACAAGTATACAAGAATAACAAAATAACCTCTCTCCCTTGAAATTAGGATTTTATCTTCCAATTTTTCCTTATTATCAAGATTGAGAAACTAGCATCCTATTTATAATAAAATAGCACACTAACCTAATGGGCTTTTTAACAATTACCCATTACAAGCCAACTTAGGGTACAAGCTAACTTAAATAATTGGGCTTACAAGCAAGACTCAATTCAACATGCTAACAATCCTAGCAATATTGACTAATGCATGTTAGAACAGACTTCGACTACAACACGCATTACTCGCGAACAGACTTCGACTATACTAGAGTTCGGTCCAACATCTCACAAATCTCCACTTTGGATCTAACTCTATAACATTAAGAAACTAGCTTTCTTCATGCAGCTTTATTAACTGCATATAGTGGAAAAACTTGCAACTGGGCAACGTTTTGGTGATCATATCAGCAGCATTATGATCTGTCGAAACCTTCAGCACTTGGACTTCTCCACGCTCGATTACCCCTCTGATGAAATGCAGCCTCACATCAATGTGCTTGGTTCGCTCATGATAGGCTGAATTCTTCGACAAGTGTATTGCACTTTGACTATCACATTTAACAGTGATAACTCGACCTTGAAGTTTTAGCTCCTTTGCAAAACCTTCAAGCCACAATGCTTCCTTCACAACTTCAGTTAGGGTAATATACTCCGCTTCAGTGGTTGATAAGGCAACGACCTTATGAAGTGTTGCTTTCCAACTGATTGTTATCCCAAACATAGTGAACACATATCCAGAGATAAATTTTCTAGAATCCATACAACCTGCATAATCAGAGTCGACATATCCTTCGATTGCTGCTTTACTATCTTCACCCAAGGCTCCACCATAAATTAGGACTCTATTCAGAGATCCATTTATGTACCTTAAAATTCACTTCAATGCTTGCCAGTGAGCCTTTCCAGGATACGCCATGTACCTGCTTACAAGACTTACTGCATATGCTATGTCGGGTCTAGTGCAGACCATAGCATACATCAAAGAGCCTACTATGTTAGCATATGGAATGCTATTCATATAAGTTCTTTCAACATCAGTGTTGGGACACTGATCTATACTCAGCTTGAATTGAGGGTTTATCAGAGTCACGACAGGCTTTGAATTCGACATACCAAACTTTACGAGAACCTTCTGTAGGTATGCCTCTTGAGATAAGCATAATTTCGACTGCTTTCTATCTCTTCGGATGTCAATCCCAAGAATCCTGGACGCAGCTCCCAGATCCTTCATGTCGAACTCTTTATTGAGTTCAGCCTTCACCCTCATTACTTCTTCGACATTGTTGCTTGCTATTAGAATATCATCCACATAGAG